AGTCTACACTTCTTCCCTCTGACGCCCTCCTCTTCTTTGTCTTACCCCCAACGTTTATTCGCTCGTGTTTCCTTCCCGGTCCATTTATGTTCTTTCTGTCAGTCTAATGTTGACTTTTCTCCTGAAGCTAACACTTTGCCCGTGTTGTCACTGCACATGCTCTTAGGTCCACTTCACAGCAACCTCTAAATTATTCATATCAGACCACATCTTCTGTGCTGTTCTGTTCCTCTCCATCCATCCAGGATCCTGTCTGTATCACATGGCTCTCTGAATATATGTGTGCATATGTCAGTGTGTGTGTGTGTGTTTAAGGGTGTGTGTGTAGACCTGTTTCCTTGACTTTGTGCTTTTGTAAGTGCTTTTGCTTATGTGTTGCTGCATCTATTTTTTTTCTGCCTCTCTTTACTGAAGATGCATTTGGCTTTTATCTGATCTCCTTATAAAAAACATCACACACACTCAGGTGAATGCAAGTCCAACCACATACACACAGTATCACACAAAAACATACAGTAATCTATATACAAATTCCATGATACCTGGTGGTACTCCTTATGTACTTGTTGGTCTCTTTTTTCTCCACTAAGGAGTCATTATGGTGTGGATGAATAAGAGGCCACCTGGGAGAGGCTAATGGCTCCCAATAGCTTGTCCGCCTGAATGTCAGTTGCAAAGTATTCACACACACACACACACACGCGCGCACAAATACCCACAATCACACACGAGTGTGCTCCCATACAAACATGTAGCTAGATTAAAAACACACACATTGACCTGTCAGTCATGTGTCTTTGTCTCCCCTGGCTGTGCAACGACTCGTCTCCAGTGACTGACTGACAGAAGGGATCCAGTGTTAAGGTCAACCAGCTTAATTACCAAAGATTAGAACCAGGCTAATTGAAACCCTGGCTTTTAGTAAACGGCCGTGATTGACAGTGGCTGAGTTGAAAGCAGGACAGTACGTAAGTCTGATACTGCAGAAATTCGTGTATAGGTGTCTTTCTACTTTTTATGGAGTATAGCAGTTGGATAATTAGCTACTGTTATACCTACAGCATTAAAGTTTTAAACGTTAGCCGTACAGCTACTGGTAGCATGAAGGTGTAGTGTTCCGTTATTGTAGTTGAGATGTAGTTCAGATGATGTCTCTAAATTAAGATTTATATATTTATAGTCATATTCCAAATTAAAAATGTACTTAATTAAAAAAGGTTTATATCTGTTGAAATATCAGAATCTTATAAACCAGTATAGCTGTTGCAAAGCTATTGCTACTTAGCATATTGTGTAGCTACTGCTACGGCAAGGACACTTCACTGCAGTGGTTTTTGTGATATTTAAACAGGTCAACAAACATTTAAATATATTTAGTCAACATCAGAAGTCGACTAAATGTTTTGTTCTAACTAATTATCTTTTAAATTAAAATTATTTCTTTCTAATAAATGTAAGCTATGAGCTCAACCCAAACACTGGCCATAATCTTGTGCCTTTCTCCATGGTAGGACCATGAAGTTTTGGTCCTACACCAGTTTCCATCATGAGAATTTCCTCTATAACATCCCACCACTGCCTTCTGCAGTTTCTGTGTTTGAGTTTACAGCAGTCAGAGTTGATGAAATCAGAAGCAAAGTTTTAGCTTCATTTCCATTAAACGCTGACTTTTAAAATACCACAAAGCAGCATTTTCTAACTTGAAAAGCTTTTTAAAGTCTTATTTATTCAAGTTATATTTTTTCCAGCATTAACTCTAACAAGGTTCAGTTTTTTAAACATTTTAATACATTTAGAGAGCATTCACTCCCAGATCGAATAACTCTGCTGTTGTCTTAGATGTGAACACAATTTGTCGCCTTTATTTTCATCAATCTTTTTGTTATATTCATTATGCATCTTGGCACAGTGCTTTATACAATATGTTGTTATTTGGGTTTGAGAACCAAAACATTGCGGGGTGGTCAGGTCTGCCCCTAATGACACTTTTGAATTTCACCTTCCGTTGCCGTTATCTCATAAATTACCTCTGAGTTTGTTTTTGTACTGCCTTAAGGGCAGAAACTTTAAAGTTCAAGTTCTACTCAGGTCAAACAAACATCCACATACCAACCTGTTTTACTGTAGAAAGGTGAACAGTCAAGGGGGAGAGAAGTAAAGTGAAGAAGGAGTAAGAAATAAATCAAACCTGTCAATAGGCTGTAACTTTGTCCTACTACTGGAGACTGGTAAAGTCTCCTGTAATAAATCTATGTAGTTTATGGTTCCTGGCATTAACAAATGACCAGTTTGTGATGAAGACGACCAACTAGTTTTATAATGACACAGGTGTCAGTCTCAGATTAAAGTAAAGCTCCCATTTATCCTTTCTGCTTCCAAGTGAACACACTACGCTTGATCTTCACGTGCAGCAGCCGGCTCCTGCTGTAGTTCCCATGATTAGGAGGCCAGACTTGAATTGCAGTCCTCTGGTTTTACAGATGACAACCCCAGCAAGCGATGTGTGTGGATTTCATTTTGGTTCCCATATAAAGAAGACAGTGTTCACACAGCAGTTCCCATGATTAGGAGAGCAGGCTTTTCTATGAGCTGTGAAATTATCTGGATGGCTCACAGTGGAAACATCGACGCGGGAGCGCGTCCAAATGAAACAGTGGGATGTGTGGACGGCTCCGTCAACAGGGGAGGGTAGGGTTACACATCTGCTCTGACCTCAGGGGGTTCTTAACCGTTCTGTTCAGCAGCACACACTCACACACTGAGTGGCTCTCTCACCAACACACGGCAGCACACGGAGATATTGCTTACACCTGTCCAGAAAATGAATGGTGGAAGGCTATTGTGTGTGTGTGTGTGTGTGTGTGTGTGTGTGTGTGTGTGTGTATCTGGTTCAGTTCATCTGCATTTGTTTCAGTGTGTGAGAGTGTGTGCGTGTGTGTTTTTCATCTTGTATTTGTGCACGTGGGCTCTTTTTGTTTGGATTTTTTTGGCAGGTTTCTGCATATCATATCAACAAAACTGTTTTTGCACGTGTGTTTGAACAGTCATTTGGAGGGAGCAGCGGGAGAGGGGGGGTAGAGGGAGAAAGAGAGGGAGAGAGACAGAGCATCACTACTTCACTGTGCTCACTTCATTGTCTCAACCCAGGTAGATGAAAAAGAATGAAGTATTTCTGAAGGCTTTGAAGTGTTTGCATAATGTGAGGGATCATCCTCTCTCTCCTTCTCTCTCTCTCTCTCTCTCTCTCTCGTCATCTGTCTGTTCTTCCTCCTCTCAGTTTTTTTGCCCCTTTGCCCTCCTTCACAACACGCCCCCACACCATTACACGTATACACACAAACACCTCTTATCTTGTTCTGCTGCTCTATCATGTCTATGTTTCCATTTTTTTCCGGGGCCTTCTGATTGATTGAAACTGGAGCTGTTAAAAGGCCACACACGCGCTTGTGAAGCCGGTGTCTCACGACCTGTCAGTTACGGTTCGATGGGCTGGTACCAGAATTAGCATCTCCTTGTCGAGGTTCAGTGCTAGGATTTCCCGTTAATGAGGCTCTCTGTAGTTGAGAAGGATAAAGTCACAGGGGATTATCAATGAAAAAAAAAAAAGAAAAGAAAAAAAACTGCCCTCTATATCAAACACACATCCCAAACGCATGCTTCTCCACTCGTCAGTGTTTATCACCCACTCTGTCTTTATCCACTTTAAATGGGTGAGTCATACATCACACACTTTTACATCACATTTGGAAAGTACAACCTTGAACAAAGCGGAAATAACACCGCAAGTGTGAGTACAGTTGATTTTTTTTTTACTTAGTGACTAAAGTTGTCACCTTTGATCCTCCACCTCCTCGAACATCAGCACTTTTTTTTCCCATGGTGCTGAATGTGGCTGATCCACTGCCTTTTATTTCTCACAGTGAAATGACTCATTGTGTTTGAAACGCTGGCCTCAGATGTTCGCTGTCACACATTTGAAAAGCTTTGATGTTCTCCGCTCTTTCACTTAAAACTAAGGATTAAACTCTGTGAGGACTCTGCGGTCCAGCCAAAATGCTGTGCTATTTCAATCCCATATAGAGGTTAAACAGTGGGGCAGTGGTTACTGCACCTGCCCCACAGCAACCGGTTTGATCACCAGTAATAAATGTTAGGATTAAGATTAGGTTAATGAGATTCTCGTAACCAGCCATAGGTATCAGTGAATGGTTGTCACAGCTTCCTACAGCTCTCTCTGTGTGGCCCTAAAAATGATGAAATGGTAGGAGGTGAATGAACAGTTCCTAATTACCATTTGTCCAAGGATAGTCATAATGACTTGCTGATTTTGACCTTGCTTTCTTTGATTTCTGCAAAATTGTATCATTGAAAGACTGGGCTGGATTTGGTGTGACTCATGCATTCAGCTGGTTTTCATTAAAAAGAAGGGGAAAAAAAGTTAATTTTCTGTCTACCCACTCAATTTTCTGTATTAATTCCAAGTATTTTCTTAAGTGTGTCGTGGCGTAGATTCACAGGTATGAGACTCAGCCACTTACTTGTCAGACAATTGATACCTCTGAAGCTGAAGCCAACGGGAGGTTAGTGTGAGGCTGCATGGTTTTGCAGAGAAAAAGATCCTTTACTCTTGAGTGAAAGATTCTTGGCCCTGTTTAAACTGGTATTAACAGCTTTGTGGAAATATCCGTCAGTGGAAATAATATCACTCACAATATGCCTTATTTTTAGACATCGCACAGTTTCACGTGTTTTTTCCTGTTGATGACAAAGTTTATAATTTTCTTGCAAATATAAAGTGATTTTTTTTTACCTACGCATAAACAGCAGTTAGTGTGATGTGATCACAGGTCAGCGCTGGATTGGCCTGTTACAAACACAGAGCCAATAAAAACATGTAAAACAATTGAAGGAAGCTTGTAAAAAAAAAGACATTCAAAAGAAACAAATTTATATTTACAAAAACAAATGTATGTTTAGGAAAACAAATTTACATTTAGAAAAGCAATCATGTATTCACGGAAACAAGGTAAAACATGCTGTTTTGTGAACAAATATACTTTTTAATTTTTTCATAAATTTTAAATTTGGTGATAACATACAACTAGGAAAAAAGTTATAAAATGTCTATGTAATTCTTCCTAAAAAATAAAATTGTAAGTAACTGTATTTGTAGAAACGATAGAAAGAACACATTCTAATCCTATTGTGAGGAGAGTTAAGGCCGTCATTGTTGAGTAAAGTTTATTAGGCCTGAAAAAGAAGCTGAGACTCAGTCTTTTCTGAGTTCCTTGCTGAATATATGAGTAAAGTTGTGTTCTGTTTCAGAGGACCAGCTTCCCTCGGGGTTCCCCACCATAGACATGGGCCCCCAGCTGAAAGTGGTAGAGCGTTCCCGGACCGCCACCATGCTCTGTGCAGCTAGTGGCAACCCTGACCCAGAAATTACCTGGTTCAAGGATTTCCTGCCAGTCAACACTTCAAACAACAATGGACGAATCAAACAGCTCCGCTCAGGTAAGATTGGTGTTTCCAAAAGTTTTGATTCTTCAATCAACTAATTTCTTATTTTCTTCTGCCTCTCTACTTTTCTTTTGTCCCTCTAAAAATATTACACACATCAGAGGTCCCTTTTACCTTCTTCTATCCTGAGAATATTTTATTTTGCTATTTCTGTTTTGTTTTTTTTTCTTAAAATTTCTGGCCCCTTCTACCCCAGTTTTCTTATATCCCTCAACGTTTTTGCTGGCAATGTTCTACTGCCGTTCCACTCTGCTGCTGCTGCTGCTGTGGTGTGAGTCGACTCTGTACGGTTGCCAACCCCCTCCGAAAACTTTTGAGGCCTTCAAATGTAAACTCCCATCTTATAAAAACTCCCCGAAGGTTTTCCTCTGCATATCTCCATCACAAACTGTTTAATTTCTCACTCACTAAAAACATAAAATATCTATAATAACACACATTGGCCCGCCGTACGTCTTGGCATCTTTTTAAACTGGCGGATTTTAAAAGGAAGACTGAGGTAATGGGGATATGGGTACCGAGGAGTCAGCCTCACAGAGATGCCTCACCGCTGTGACTACATGAAGTGTCTCACATGGGTCCAAAGACACTCAATCTACTTAAATGAGTTTTGGTATAGTCACAGCAGTGTGTGAAACGCTCTCTTTTCACACTAAAGCCTCGAAGACCGTCTCTACTTCCTTCTCCTTCATGACTGGACCATAGTCTCTCTCTCTCTCTCTCTGTCTTTGCTCCAGAGCGTCTTTAAAAACAAAACATTTGGCTCCTGTTTTTGTTCTGTCCCTGCTTTTTTTTTTTTTTTTAATTCTATGGCTTTACCCTCTGCAACCTGCTCTCACTTTTGTAACTGAACTTTATTCTGCACAAAAAAAAAATCAATAATTATTACTTTAAAATGTTACGACCTAGAATAGCAGATATTTTACCGCTGACTTTTCTGTGTAGTTATTACAAGAGTTTCCTGTTAAATGCAGTCTTTGTGGATAATCGATACCAGTGACTTATGTTGTCTTTGGAGTTCCAGTGCATTTTCAAGGTGTTTCTACTAAATCAACTCCTGTGTGTAACTAAGGGTCTGATTGTAATGCCATGTCTATGCTGTTTCTTTTCTCTCTGTATCTTTTTAACCACAGAGTCCTTTGGTAAGTGCTGCTGTTCGAGGCCCAAACCCTCACTCTCCACTTCTCTTATACTGTTCACTAATATTGATTCTGTTGCTGCTGCTCACCTTTACAAATGTTGAGTTGTTATTAAAATGCATGGCATGCATTTTACTAACAGTCACACACAAAGTTTTAAACAACACAAAGAGAGCGGGAAACACCCTCTCTAATCTGCAGGTATACTGTGTTTTGGCCAAAATGAAAGTATGCAAAAAAAAAAAAAAAAGCTACTAGCTGCTCTGCTACACTCGAGCCAATTGGCTCCATCTCACCTGTGTACCTGCAGCTTCTACACCCAAAATTATGCAGTGGCTTTTTCCTTAAACTCACCTGTCTCCTTTTTTATCCCCTCACTTTTACTCAACTATTCTGTCCCTCCCTACCTTCTTTTCTCTCAATCACTCACTCACTCACTCACTCACTCACTCACTCACTCACTCACTCACAAACATTCTCATTCACACTATCCACTCTGCTATATAGAGTTACCAGTCAATAAGTCATGGGCAGTGGATGGCCTCTGGTGGAAAATCAGAATCAATAGCTGCCAGGTTTTAGACTCATAGACTTCAGACTCATATAGTGTCATGTGGTACGGAGTTAAACTTAGCTACAGTAATGTATAAATGCATACATACATTCAAATCTATAGTGTACATACTGAGGTTAAGGTTATCGATCCAGCATTGGGGAAATGATTGTGTTGCAGCAGAGTAGGAGACAGAGGCAAAGACTGTACGAAAGGAATTTACCAATTATAACAACAACAACAACTGGATCAAGGATTTCAAGATATAAAGTCTGATATATAATAAGAATGTTATACACAGACATTTGACAGTTGTTGCATGTGAGTAGAATAGATTGCACTAAAACCTGTAATACAGGACTGTGGTATGATAAGGAGAAGAGGAGGCAGGGTGGAGTATATACTGAGGGAGACAGATATTACATGGTGGCGTTGTTCAGTCGTGTGGCGGTGGGGACGAACAATCGACGGAAGTGTTCCGTCTTGCACTGTGTTTGCAGCAGGCTGCTGCTAAAGGAGCTGCTCTGTGTCCAGGGGAGTTGTCCATGATGGATTATAGCTTAGCCAAAAATCCTTCTTGCACCCAGTTCCTGAGTGAGGTCCAGAGGACAGTCCAGGACCAGCCTGTCGAGACAGTTCCTGTCCCTCTACTTACCTCCACCAGCCAGACAGACAACAGCATAGAACGATGTAGAAGCTACCACAGTGTCGTTGGACACACTGCACACTCTAAAGCACCTCAGTCTCCTCAGCAGGTGGAGACGACTTCTGCCCTTTCTGTACAGGACACCTCTGTGTGTTGACCAGTCTAGTTTGTCATTTCGGTGAACACCCAGGTATTTCTAGTTCATGTATGTTTTATACATGTTTTTATTTATGACTAATCCAAATGATTGGATTATCCACTTAGAAAGATGTGGGGGAAAAACATGCAAAAGGATAACTGAATATTTAGCTCGATAGAATTGGTGGATTTTAGTCATTACTGTGCATCTTAATGACGACTGGTGGAATGTGCTGAGAGTAGCTGTCAAAACATCAATGAAGCCCCCCGTCCTCAACAATATTAATCAGTCTGCAGTCTCTCTTAATCCATTTAGCAATTGTGTCAGTCAGTCTGTCAGTCGTAGACTTACTCCAGCTGCACTCGGTGAGACCGCTCTGATGCAAGCTGGGAATCAGACCTGAAGTTGAAGTCTTCACAAATTGAAGGAAAAGTGTGGTTTAGTTCCTGACAAGCACACTCGTCGTTTCAAATGTGGCTTGTATAATTTTGCAGAACGTTCAAGGCCATAGTGTCTCTCTCTCTCTCTCTCTCTCTCTCTATCTCTCTTTCTTTCTTTCTCTGGCATCATCTTGACGTTTGGATGTTTGTGACTAGACTAAAAGATTGTTGGGTTATTTTTTCTGTCTATTTGTTAGCCATGCTAATAGTGTATCTAAATTGCTAACAGAAAAATCTCAAGTACATTCTAGTTCTTATGTTCTAGGGGCAGTTTTACAGGTTTTAAGATTCTAGCAGTTTGATCAGGGCGCTGCTCTAAACGGGGATTAAAGTAGTTTAAGACTTACTGGAAGGCAGGTAAATCCACTCAAACAGTTCTAGTCTCTTAGATCGTTCAGTGCAGACACTACTTTACTCCTACAACCGCATCTGCCCCTTCAGCAAGTCAATGAAGTCAAATCAATAACCCATCTCTGTATAGTTCTGTCACTGTCTGCCACTCTGTCTCTTTATGATCTAGTCTTTCTCTTTCCAGACTTATTCTGTCTTTTTTTTCCTCCCCCTTCTCTCTTACCCTCTTACTCTCTGAGGATCTATATTTTAGGAATCTAATTTGGTTCGTTCCTTTTTCCAAGTTACCCAACTCCACACCCCAGCCCCTGCCCCCCCACCCCTCCCTCTCCTGCCTCCCCTTCTTTCTGTGGTACTAACATTTTCTTCTTCTTCTCCTTCTCTAATCGTGCATTCATTGCCCACTCAGGTGGCACGCCCATACGAGGTAAGACTGCAGAGAGGATCACCACGACACAGTCGCCTGATTCCTTTTCAACCCCTGGTTGTCCGCTCGTCTGGTGGATCTTAAAAAGCAGCCGTGGATGTGTTCATCAATACCGGTCGTAGTCCCAAAGATTTAGGACACCACCGTATTGATCATGCGTATCCTGCTGCTTTAGATCTGCTGTGAGCGAGTGGGGAACGGGAATTGGAACTGAGAATTGAGCAAGCAATACTTTGACTTTTAATCCCTTTCCCTCTTCTGGTGTTTCATCCTATCTTCATCCTTTTTTTTTTACATCTAACAGATAATTCATCCCCTTACTTCTCTGCCACACAGTGACTTTTCTTTTGTGTACTCACTTTAACATCATTTTAGCTCTTCACCATGCTAAATCTTTGCTCCCCATCTGAAGCATGCCGTTCACAGTTTTCTTTTTCTATGTTTGCTGTAGCAAAGCATTCTTTTTATTTACCTGTTTGTTTGCTTTATAATTATCTGGGTTACTCTTATATTTTCTCGGGGTCTTTTTTTGTTTGATTTTTTGGGTGGGGGCTCCAGCAGCTGCTGAACTTGACCCAATCTTCAACATTTCTATATAGGTTCCCCAATAAACATTCAAGTTTTATTTTCTCCTAGTGCTTATTCACTCAGCCTGAAATATCCAGATGACAAACGCTTGCAGAAACTAGTGCAAACACACACACACCTCACGACAGGCATTCATTTTTCAGTTTTTTACCATACCTTTCTCTTTTCTCCCATTAATGATAAAAAGCCCCAAACAACCACTTTTTTGATGAAGTTTTTATGGGCGCTTTTTTGCCTTACCACCCCATCGTTTTTTATTCCTATGACTAAACGAAGAAAATAATTAAATAAACAAAAATAAAACTCTGACTTTTTTGACAGCTCTTCTACTTTTCAGGGGGCAAGAAACCATCAGTCCCTTCCAAAGGCTTTGCGTATGTCGTCTTTTTTTTTTTTTTTTTTTTATAACCTGGTTGGCCTTGATGGAGGTCATGTAATATCTTCACCTCCCTGTGTGACATGACACTCCTGATCCCACTGGTGGATCTGAAAGGCTTAGAGATGTTCTATTGCCATTTTTTGTCAAATTAAATCAAGGGAACTTATAACTGCCTCTCCACTTTCAACAGTGAATAATGTCGATATTGTATTTGTGTCTGGATTTCTTCACATTTTGGCTGGTGTTATTTGTTTCTGCCTTGCATGAAGACTACATTCTGTGTTTGTTTTTTGTTTATTTTTTGTAGGCTCTGTGTCAGCCTTTTGTTCTTTTTGTTGTCTATCCATTTCTAAAGCCAGCAGCTGGCTAATGTTTTGCTATCTTGCTGATTATGGTAAAAACATCCTAATGTGTCCCAGTAGACTTGAACCCCTTATACACAGTTTAGGTTGTTTTGCTTCAAACCTGGATTAATCTATCACTGCTGTAGCTTTTTCTAAAAATCATTTTTTGGTGTAATCCCATTTTTTTTGGTTGTTGCTCTGTCTTCCTCTTCATCTTTCTATGTGACTCTCTCTCTCTCTTTCTCTCTCTCTCTCTCTCTCTCTCTCTCTCTCTCTCACCCTCTCTCTACTCTTGTCTCTCTCTCCTCTATACCTGCGCCCTACCAGGTGCCCTTCAGATCGAGATGAGTGAGGAGTCAGACCAGGGGAAATATGAGTGTGTTGCCACCAACAGTGATGGAACACGCTATTCCACTCCAGCAAACCTCTATGTCAGAGGTAAGACATGAAGCCAGTCAAATGTAATGATCTCATTGTTTATGGATGTGCAGCAAATTACCTTCGGCCGTGGCTTTGCTCAAATTTTAATAAGGTCATTTTTTCTTTTTGTGATGAGTAAGTGATATTTATCTCGTAAAACTGGTCGGCTTTTCAAATTTAAGCTCCTCTCCGTCAGGGTTTCTTATCTGTCTGCCTGGTTTCTTACCTCTCAGACCTTGATGAGAAAAACAAATCAATACAACAACAAAAAAGAAGTCCCTTATTCGTTCCACGATTGGTAAATTCACAGCGTAACTCTTTGCAATCCACACATGCTGCCACAGGAGGCGCCATTAAGTACAGTATGTGGTTTAAGTAGTGCTCGAACCCAGGACCTTATGCATGTGAGGCAGATGTTTTATTGACAAGCGCTTTTTAAAAATATTTTCATGACTACAATTTCACTCGCAAATACAACGGGCCCATACTGTGTAGTACTTTATAATTTTACCCAAGTTTGTCATTTCAAATAATTATATCGATGTTAATGTCTTGTTTTAGGTGATTTTTGGATTCTTGTGATGACGATATTTATTATTATTATTATTATTATTATTACTACACCACAAAGGTTGTACTGATAAAGTGGTGGATAGTGTAAGTACACACTGAAATTGTGCTGTGTGTGTGTGTGTGTGTGTATCAACCATTACCAGGCAGATACAGTGTTTTGTGCCTGTAAGAGCAGTGAAGTATTGCAGCGCTGCTCAGCGAGTCTTTGACAGCAGCTCTGTGGAGGCACTGGCCTCTCGCAGACTGACTCGGCCATTTATGGCCAGTTTTGATTTTCTTCTTTCTTTCTCTCCCTTCTCATTCCGGTCTCTGCTCACCATTTCTCTCTTTATCTGCTCCTGTTCCTCACTTTGCAGAGCTGCGAGAAGGTACCGTAAAGACCTCGTGTCTTGTTTTTAAGTCTCTCTCATGTTCCATTAAAGTACCATTTGTGTTTGTTTGTCCTGGTTTATTTTATGTGTGGTGCTGAAGCGTGTAATCCCAGAAGATAAACTGTGATCTTCATTGTTTTTGTTTTATTTTTTTTCCCCCATTAAGTGCATGTGTGTCTGCTGTGGGTTTTGTTGTGAGCATCTTTTGTGTTTCGGTTCATAAAATATTTAGTGGAGCACACCTAAAAACACCATGAATAAAACATTTTGATATCACACGATTCACAGTGGTGATGTATCAGACCATCTGAATGCTGCCAGATGTTTTTTTTAAGTGCTATAAAAACTCATCTTAGAGCACGACAAAGGAACAATCCTCCCACTCTAATAGTTGTTCACTGTACACAGCAACAGTGTTGTTCTAACGCTGCCTTCCTGCTCTCCAGTGCGACGAGTCCCTCCTCGCTTCTCCATCCCACCAGCGGACAGTGAGATCATGCCAGGGGGCAGCGTCAACATCACCTGCGTGGCAGTGGGGTCACCCATGCCTTATGTGAAATGGATGCTGGGAGCTGAAGACCTCACGCCTGAAGATGACATGCCAATCGGCCGTAACGTTCTGGAGCTGACGGACATACGACAGTCCAACAACTACACCTGTGTGGCCATGTCAACGCTTGGTGTGATCGAGGCAGTGGCACAGATTATTGTGAAAGGTGGGTTCATCCACACCAGGAGGCTCATAGGAGATACACGGAAAAGAGAGGAGAGGAGAGGACAGAAAAGTGAATTCTTTTTCCTTTTGAGGATGACTATTATAATAATTTCTTCTAATTTTTCATATTTTAAAAAGGCTTTATTATGATTTTCAGATTTTAAATTAGCCCAAAATATGACCAGGTCTGGGTCAGAGTATTCTGAGCCGGTGTGATTTACTGTCTTCCACTCATTTTAATGACATATTAAATGACAGTTTTCTTCTTTCACTTTAGCTCTGCCTAAAGCTCCTGGCATCCCTGTGGTCACAGAGAGAACTGCAACAAGCATCACACTCACCTGGGACTCTGGGAACCCAGAACCTGTCTCCTACTATGTTATACAGGTGTGTATATTGTACTGCAGTAACAACAACATATCAAAGTACTGTTGTTTCTGAGACATAGAAGGCAAAGCATACATTTTATTTACATAAAAAATGCATTTAGACAAAAAGAAAGTTCTTCTTTATCCTGGCGGTAAATTGTCATATTTGAATTAATGTGGAAATGAAGCACATTTCATTTCACCAGCAGTGAGTGAATACTTGACTCAGGGAACCAACATCTGTTTTAGACGCGTGCTGTTTTTTTCATGAATGTCAGGTTGTTAACAAGCAGGGAGCGTTGGTAGTTTATCAGTTCGACTTTTCCTCCTCCTCACCTCCCCCGCCTCCTCTACAGCACCGTGCCAAAGGCTCAGATGATCCTTACAAGGAGATTGATGGCATTGCTACAACTCGCTACAGCGTGGGGGGCCTCAGCCCTTACTCCCACTACGACTTTCGAGTGGCGGCAGTAAACACCATTGGCCAGGGCCCATCCAGTGATGCGGTGGAGGCTCGCACGGCGGAGCAGGCTCCCTCGTCACCACCACGTCAGGTAGGGATGAATGTTTAAAATTAATGTTGAAGGCACTGTAGTGTAAAGGTCACGTGGAGAAAAGTTATATTTGAGTTTAAAAGGTAGAGGGAGGAATGTTCTCTCTGCAGTTCCTGATTAAGTTCTCTGTTCAAATTGACCCGGAGAAAATGACTTGGTTTTTGTTTTGCATACCTTGCCTTTGATCTCTTAATGTCAGTTTTTATTTTTCATGTGAGAGCCCAAGTTTTGGACAAAGTTTTTATTGGCAACTTTGCTTCTTTTAAGTTGAAAATAGTGCCACCTACCTTGTCTATACATCAACTGCAGTAGAAACATCTCTCTAAAACTACTTGTTTTAGAGACAATGAGAGAAATTACAGAGAATGACTTCGGTCATTCACATACACTGAGTCTGTGACTCAGTCACATACATCATAAGTGGCCTGGAGAAAATGACTTGGTTTTTATTTTGCATACCTTGCCTTTGATCTCTTATACTCTTTTAATAATTGATGTGAACTTCACTGGATCTGAGTATACAGTTATAAACTGCCTCTGATATGTGCAGTGTGCTACATAAAATTAGCATATATATTATACAGCATTAATTTGTATTCCTCTGTCACCTAACAAAGGAATGAATAAATAATCAATCTGTGTAAATATCCCCTTTTACCCTGCAGGTCAGAGGTCGTATGCTGAGCACGACAACGGCAATCATCCACTGGGATGAACCAGAAGAACCAAACGGTCAGGTGGTTGGTTACAGAGTGTACTACACCTCAGACAACATGCTGCCAGTCAACCAGGTGTGGCCATCTGCTGTTCTGTTAATGGCTCTCTCTGCTGTGTTTAATGAATCACATGCAGTTGATTTCTGATTTATTTATTTTTTTAATGTATTAATGCGCTGTAATGTGTTTGTGCTGTGCAGTGGGAAAAGCAAATGGTGCGCAGTGCCAACTTCATCACTATCCAGAGCTTAACTCCTAATAAGACCTATTACATCAGAGTGCTGGCCTTCACCTCTGTAGGAGATGGACCTCTGTCCCAGGACTTACAGATCATCGCTAAGACCGGAGGTAACACACAGGAGTGTCAGTGGTTCATATGTACAGGACAACAGTAAAACAGTTTTTTAAGCAATGTTAATTGTGATTAATTGCATGACTATTCAGTGATTAATCACCATTAATGGCATTTAGGCAAAATAAAATGAATTGAATGATATTGTATTGGACAATTACCAACATGGTGTAACATTTGGTTTGTTAACACATTAAACACGTTTTTACACCAGTGTTCCCTTCACACAGTACCAGTACTCTGACTCATCGTCCACTAGCATACACTGCCAAATGAAAATCTGCATTATCGCACGAAAAATAATTGTTGGTCTTAATGAGTTTTTACATTTTATCTATAATTCTTTGTTGTGTCTCTGTAGTTCCGTCTCAGCCTTCAGAGTTTAAGGGTGAGGCCAAGTCTGAAACCAGTATCCTGCTCTCTTGGGTCGCACCACCACAAGGCGGTCCCGACAACCAGATCACAGGATATGAACTGGTCTACAGACGAGCTGGTGAAACAGAAGAGGTGGGAATGGAAGGAAGAATTGCTCGGATCATTTCTTTTGATTATGTTCCTTTTTTAAAAAATGTTTTTTCTCCCACTTGTCTTTTCCTTCATCCAGAAGAAGACAAGCTTCGAACCGACTACCTTCTACCTTTTGAAGGACTTAAAGGCCTTCTCCACTTATACCTTCCAACTGGCTGCCAAAAGCAAACATGGAATTGGTGCATATACGAATGAACTGTCCATCAACACGCCACAGACCCGTAGGTTGAACCCCAAATACTGAAGTGGATGTGTGTGTGTGTGTTTAAGATGTTGCTTAACCATATTTTTGGGGACATTTTTTTTGAGGAGAGGGCGCTGTTGATGTAGATGTTGCTTAACCATTTTTTTGAGGAGAGGGCGCTGTTGATGTGCTGACAGTTTGTCCTTGTCAGGATATTTTTATTTAGTTTGTTTTTTTGTGGATTACATTTTGGGTCAGATTAAAGTTGTGGTAAGGATTAGGATTATAATTATAACTAACTACTTTTGTAAAAGTTAAAGCTCATAAATAGCTAGAACATACATGTGGGTGGGTGCTTTTTGCGAGAGAACCAATGAGATAAATGTAAAAAGAAAAAGTACTTTTAAAATAAGTGAACTGTCTGTGTAGATGTGATGGATGGATGGATGAATGGATGGATGGATGGATGAATGGATGGATGGATGGATGGGTGTTAATGTGTGGTCTCTGGTCTTTGCCATAATTGTTGAAATGAAGGTAAGAACCAAAGTAGAAAGGTCACTGTGTTAGAGGAGAATCTCACCCTGTTTAGTCACTTGTTCATTTTCATTATCTGACATATCGGCCGAAGCAAAAGTTGAAGTCTATCATCCAGGATTTGTGTTCAGCCATCTTTACTTTCTATAACTGTTATCATTAATTTGTAATGAGTTTCGGTTCTCCAGTTTTCGTTTTCATTTCATCGTTTCTTTGTCTTCTGTTTTCTGTCTCTCATCTACTCAAATTCCTCTCCATTCCTCCACCACAAATCCCACTCCTCCACCCATCAATAACAATTTACACACAACCAAATAACCTCTTCCCAAACCATGCAATACCAATGCACTGGCCAATCAGTTCCTTCAGCACCTCCACAGGACATCACATGCACCAGCCCTAGTTCTACCAGCATCCTGGTAAGTTGGGCTCCGCCTCCTCTGGAGTTTCAGAATGGCATCATTACGGGATACTCCATCCAGTACTCTACTACAGAGGGCAACAGAACATCCAAAAAAGTAGATGGAATTCCTCCGGAGAATTCTTCCTATCTCTTGGAATACCTGGAAAAATGGACTGAGTATGTGATAACTGTACGAGCACAGACCGAGGCTGGTGATGGACCAGAAAGTTTGCAGCTGTTAATCCGCACTGAGGAGGATGGTATGTCAAAAAATACAACTCATGCTTGTTTTGGGATGCCCTTCTCCGACTAACAACAGTTACCCCTCTCTAACTCACTAACCAGCTGCTTACACAAGCCAGTTAAGGCGTTCTGTGCTTGAGCTGATATTTAAGATGGATGACGCTGTTAGGATCCAGTGACAAAAACAACCTTACCTTCGTCCCTCTTTTGTGCCTGTATAACAAGCAGAAACCCCTAATATCTGGAAAAGCCCTCCTGCCCTCTGTCCTGCTTTTACCAGAAGCCCCTTTCTGCCCCGAGCCTTTTTTACCATCTTTTTAAATCAACATCTTCTTGCTCAAGTTTCCTGTTTTTCCTAGATTGTTTGGGATTTCCCTGGCTTGGCAGTACAATATTTCCTTGACCTTAGCTTTCCTAGTGGTTTTCTTTCCTCCTTGATCCTTGAAAACTATTGAAATATATTTTTAATCGATGTTTGCTCAGTGTTCCTGCACTAGATTGTAATATTTTCCACTGGATTTCTTTGATGTACAACATGATTAATTGGCCAAACCCTGCAGGGAACGTTTTTCTATTCCAGCCCAGCAGAGTGCTACTTGTTTTGCACTGGTCAGTCAGATAGCATAAAGGATCGGCTGCTACTTAATCGACATTTTTTTCTTAAAAGGGAAGTGTTTTGTAGCTTTCAAAACCTTTTTAAGGGAAAGTCAATCCAACGTTAGCAAAGAGATTTTTCTGTCTTTTTTTTTACGTATTTTTGAAGACTTTTTTTTCTTGCTGGTCTTACAAGCGAGGATAAGTGATAAATGATAAATATCTCCCAAACAAGTCTATGTCATTGTCGTGGTCTTTACATGAGAGGAAGACGTGTCCAATCGTCCGTGACCCTTGACCTCTATTTCAAAATGCATCTTTAGTTCCAAGTGGTCCTCCACAAGGAGTTGAGGCAGAGACTGTGAACGCTTCGGCCATTAGGGTGAAATGGCGAGCACCAGTACCGGAACGACAGCACGGTCAAATCAGAGGCTACCAGGTTCACTATGTGAGGATGAACTTTGGTGAACCACAGGGTCAGCCAGCCATCAAGGACATCCTCATAGAGGACACACAGGTGAGAAAACTTCACTGTACTACCTCGCACAGGAACCACAGTGTCAGTCAGAGTTTTGTAGAATACTTGGTTTCTACCAACACATTTTCACAAAAGTGTGCTGTTGACTAAAAAAAGTTTGTTTTTGTCCTTTCTTTTTTGCAACATCCGTTAGTGGGAAACCAACGATTCAACTGATTATGTGAGTATTTTTTAATATATTATTTCATATATGTAAAAAGTTCAGACTTTTAAAAATCCTTTAGGACAAAACAAGGGCTTAAAACCCAGAAGGATGTTTTTTTCTTTCCTGCATTCTGCATGTTTCCCTGGCAGTTTTTAATAAAGGACTCTGGGCAGGCACAGATATCTAATGATAACAATAGTCTGTGGATATTGCCAAAATGTTGTGTTTATATTTCTTTCTTCAGGCAAAGAAATGAAAGCATACTTTGTGTCGTGATAAGATAGAGAGACCATTTTAAAGTGCTTTTCTGTGTCTGTGTAGGTAAATGAGATTTTGTTCAGCCTTTGGCCCATACTTTGGGCTCTGATGAGATCATTTTGTAGTTGTTTTGATTTCTGGGATCTACTGAGCTGATCGTCGAGCGTCACATTTCCCAAAAGCAGGATCTATTTAAGCAATGAAAAGGAGAAAAATAAATTGAAAATGCCATCCTTGGTCTGAGAGAGAGACACGAACTGTCTGTACTTTCACGCTGTCTTCATCCAAGTCCTCCATTGACCTGAGGACACACAGTAGACGCCGCCTTGACATTTGTTTTTGTTGTCCTGCAGGAGGTGGTTCTTGGTGACCTGAAGGCAGACACTCCTTACTCTGTATCAGTGGGCGCTTACACCGCCAAGGGAGATGGTGCTCGCAGCAAACCTGTTACAGTCTGCACTTCTCTGCCATGTAAGCAGCTCTGAACACACTCTGTCACACACCCAAGGGTATGCAGCTCATGCAACACACACACACATAACAGCGGTCATTTTCGACCAGTAATGACCGCCGCCAAGCTGGTTTTCTTTAAAGACCATTATGTTGTTGAAATGTTTTATGTCTTATTATGTCATGTCTTCCAATGCCAGTAAAAATGTCATTTGGTTCCATATTTTTCGCAGTTTTGCTGTGGGTCATGAGTAATGTGCTTTGCAATTATCTTCTAATTACCTTCTCGTCGTTATCTCCCTGTCATCCACTGTTCTTTTCCTGTAGTGCCTGAGAAGCCTGTTCTGACAGTGAGCCTCACTGATGCAGGGAATGTTCTTCTTCAGTGGTATCCACCTCCAAATCCACTCACCCCCCTGCTCGGGTATCGCCTTACCTTTGGACGCACAGACGTCATTCCCTTTACGGTGGTGGAGTTTCCCATGAAGGAAAATCGCTACACAGCGAATGACATCCACAAGGGAGCAATTTACATCTTCCGACTCTCTGCCTGTAACAAAATGGGATTCGGGGAGGAGGCAGTAAAGGAGGTGACAACTCCAGAGGATGCCCCAAGTGGATTCCCAGAAAACATATACTCTGAAGAGACGTCTGCCACCTCACTGCTGCTGTCGTGGAAGTCAGTCCCACTAATGGAGCAAAATGGAAAAATCACCAAGTACTCGGTGCTCTATAAGGATGTAAACAGTCGAGGGAACTCCTCAGAAGTTGTTGTGCCACATCCACAGACAAGTGTTCTGTTGGAGGGTCTGAGTGCTGATACTGTGTATGATGTCAGGGTGCGTGCGTTCTCAGTTGTTGGTCCCGGGCCGTACAGCCCTAGTATCCAGTTTAGGACACAGCGTCTAGACCAAGGTAGGACTCACTACCATTCTAACAAACCATCTTCATTAACCAGGGTGAAGGAACCGCCTTCTGAAAAATACGGCAGCACATTTGTGACACATACACACTCCAACACACATCAACTGATGACATCATTTAAGTGTCCTTTGTCATTGTCTTGTCACTGTCGTCCTAATCCCAACATCATTTTCCCAAATCAAGGTAGGAGACGTAGGTCTGGTTCAGTGTGTTGAAAGGAGCTAATTCTGTAGGTAGTTTGTAAAGAATGACGTCCAGGACGGAAACTGGTGCAACAGAATAATAGATACTCAAGTAAACTGTTTAATACGTTTGGTTTTTGTTTTTTCTTCTTAGTTTTTGCAACCAACTTCAGAGTGAAAGCGGCGATGAAGAACTCTGTGCTGCTGTCGTGGGAGATCAGAGACAAAAACCCAGCTCAGCCCTTCACTGTGAGTAAAGATTGGCATGTGTGCATGTTTCACTAAAATAAATGAATTTGTTATTTTAAAAATAGGTGAAGCAGTTGTTAGATAAATGCAGCATTAAATATATATATATATAAAATTTTCAATTGGCTGCGTGGGGTCAAACATACTGTAGTATAAATTTTGGAGTTTTCTGGAAATTATTTTGCCAATTAACATTGACATAAAATTCTCTTTAAATTGTATAGGATTCACACAAATGGGAGGATTTCTACTGTAGATATTTACTGTAGACTGTATATATATTTTTTTCTTTTTCTTTTTTTTCTTAAATATTAGTCCCTTGTCTGTGTTATTGTTTAGAATTTTTTCTTAAATATTACTCCCTTGTCTGTGTTATTGTTTAGAAACCTAAGATCTCTGTACGGCTGTATTTTGTCTTCGACCGTCATAGTAATGAATCCCTAACCTGTTTCCAGATCTTGTATGGAAGAGGCCAGTCTGTGGAGGTGGATGGGAAGCAGACTCAGAAGCTCATCACTGGCCTGGAGCCAGACACTCTGTATTCATTTCTGCTCACTAATCGGGCCAACAGCGCTGGAGGCCTGCAGCACCGCGTCACAGCCACCACTGCTCCAGACATCCTGAAGACCAAACCCACTGTGGTGGGAAAAACCAACGCAGATGGCATGGTGACTGTTCAGCTACCAACCGTGCAGACCACCTCCAAAGTCAGGTAGAACGTGATGGATGGATGACACCTCTGAACAGCTGGTTTCATTTGATGGATAGCCGTGTTCGTGTACATGCGCACGAGTCTGTGTCGGCTGTAATAACTGAGACTGGCGAGAGTTTGTTTGTCATCAAATAAATTGCACTGTAGACACTTTAATTTAATCATTTCCTCTCAATGGTGTTTTCCCCTAATTGGTCTATCAGGAGTAATTTCACTGATTTGGCAACAGCAACTCTGAGAATTCTTACAACGAGCCAAATAAAAACACAGAGACGATAATGTTTTCTGATTTTTATAACCACCACCCAAATACCCTCAGAGGGAGCAGAACTTGTAATTCATCCTTAAATCACAGCCAAATCACTTAGCATTCACATCACAAACTGATATCTATGTTGTTTTGTCTCCGTCACCTCAGAAATGTTTCCTTTGAGTCCCAAACCACATTAACTTCTTGTACATTCTGTCTTCGTTGGACCTCAGTGAGATGGTCAACCGCTGCCCTCACACGCTGTTGCTTCCAAAGTTGATGAGCTTCGGGATCAAGCGCTTTCCTCTTGCCTCAGTGTTTGCTTGCTGTGTTTCAGGGGTTTCTACGTGGTGGTGGTGCCGCTGAAGAAGCAGAGAGGGAAATTCCTCAATCAGTGGGAGGATCCTGACCAGATGAACCTGGATGAGGTGAAACGCTGTTTCTTTTTTATAGTCACCGATTCAGAACTTTTATCGAAAGTTCAACAATATTAATAACAATACAGCAGTAATACCAAAGTGTTTAACACTAATACAAAAACAACATGATGTTCCAAGACAGATGTTATCATTTCCATTGGTTTCTCTAAGGTGTCTCCAACAGCTTTGACACGTTTCTGTTCATTTATCTCTGTTAATTCTACAGCTGTGTTTCATTTTATCTACTTAAAGTTTTTCAACCTTCAAAAGCAAATATCAGATTTTTAACGAAACTTGAATGGAATCCTCTTACAATTATTCCAGCTTTGCCACATAATCAAAGCATTCCGATCAAGCTCTGTCTGATTTCTTTTTATTTGACCAAAACTACAGGAACATTTGAAAGTCCTTAAACCTGATTATTTTTCCCTTGTATTTAAAATGTTCAAAATAGTTAGATTACTTTTTAAAATAACACTCCTTTTTTAAAAACAGTTTTAATGCAGTGGTTGTGTTAGAGAGTCTGATGACTCACGGGCAGAAGCTCCATATCTGTAAATCAGTCTTAACTCGATTGATTTTGTTTTTCCATTTTAGCTCCTGAAAGACATCAACAGGACAAGCGTCAGTCGGTCCCTTCGCATCCGCAGGCAGGCAGCCCAGTCAGATTCTAGGGCTTACGTCAGCGCTCACTTCAAGACCCTGCCACTGGAGTTTACTCTCGGTGACGGGCAAACCCATGGCGGCTTCCGTAACCGCGCACTGCAGAATGGACAGGAGTATGTCTTCTTTGTCCTTGCGCTGCTTGATCTCTCTGAAAATGTGAGTAGTAGAGACTGGTCGTCATACCTACTAAAAACATCATGAAATATGAAAAAAAAAACATTTGTGAATTTTTTTTTTTTTCAAACCTTCCTGCAGACCATGTTTTCAACAAGCCCTTACTCTGACCCCGTGACCTCATTGGATGTGGATCCCAAACCGATAGTAGATGAAGAGGAAGGGCTGCTGTGGGTGGTGGGGCCTGTGTTGGCTGTCATCTTCATCGTCTGCATTGTCATCGCCATTCTGCTCTTCAAGAGGTCAGGACCGAGACAAACTGACACTGACACTGCTTTAGAATAAATACGTTCTCACAGTAGAATTTACAGTTGGATTTGCAGCAGAAAACAAAGTCATGCAGGTTTATGGTGTTTCCATTTTATGCTCTCTGTGTTTCTTGTTTAAGCTAATAGAAGCTAATAGAAGCTAGTAGAACACATAAAGGAAGACAACCTTAATTACTCATCAGTGTTATTTATTTTCACTTCAGCTCATTGTAATGTTGAGCAACTGCAACAGTGAGTATTTGAAGGCAGCACTGAACATCCATTTACTGTGCACATACATTAGCCTAAAAAAAGAGCGAAAACCTATGGCATTCTGCAGCTATTTATGTCTCACCAGCAGCTAAGGTGCACCTGAGGGTAATCTCCCCGAGGTTTAGAAGTGGTAGCTCTGAGATACATGTACACATCTCTGTAGTCTCTTTCTCCACCCACAGTGAATGATCACTTCACTGGATATAACTCATAAAAGAACAATCCATGGATGACTAACATGGACCCAGTGAGAGAGGCTGTTAAAGCTGGGTTAAGAACTATAACTGTAAAACTCTTCATGGGTTCTAGTAGCTTCTTCTGAAATATGTGTTTCTGTTTCCTTCGGTTTTAGATTCTTTGGTGTTACCTTGTGTTTCTGGACTATGTTGTCAATGGGTCAACATTTTTCTTTGCTACGGAAAGTAACAAAGTTACAACCTGTATGAAAAAGTGCTTTCAGAAGCCTGGTAGAATTTTGAGTGATGTTCGCAGATGAAAAAAGTTGATAAAACAAAAAGACTGGGGCTTTTAATCTCTTCTAAAATTATTCATATGTTAATTATGCACAATGTGAGCAGTAGATGTTAATTTACATGTAACCATAATTAATTAATTAGAAAATGATCCTCATTATGTTGTGTTGGTCTGTGAATGAGCCAGTCAGACGGATGAGTTCAGTGTTGCCGTGGCTCCTGATGTCTTTTTAATTGGATACTAATGTTATTTCTTTTTTCCTGCTCTTCTGTTTGTCTGGCTCTGTCCCCGTGTGGATCTAGCAAACCTGACAGGTAAACAAACTACTTATTATCCTTTCCTCAGGCCTGGGGGTATTTTCCTTGAAAAGCCTTTGCAAATAGTACTTTAGATAATGGTTCCCAGTAGAGTTAGGATTATCCTGATGTTTCTTTAATGACTGCACAGTAAACCACCGTGTATTGGGTAAATTTGAACTTGGAAATGTGCACACAGGGCATAAGATAAAGTAGTTGCCTGCTTATACGAACTCACCGCTGTAGTTTTTTCGTCATTCGGGATTGAACCAAACTACAGCAGATGTCCTTCAACACGTGCTCCCGACAAACAATGGGGCAGTAAATGGACTAGAATTACACTTCTCAACACTTGGAGATAAGAATTGTTGTCGGTTTCTCCTCTGATAATGCAAAGCCCAGATAAATGACCTAAAAATAGTTTTGAGGTGAAAGTGAATTATTTTCGTTATGACGCAGAACGCCACTGTACGCAATGTAATGTGTCTTCAGCCTTTAACCCAAACGGCTGCATATATCCTATTAGTTGATATTGTAATCTGAAACGAATTGTTACCGGCATATCGGCTATCGATTGATATTACATTAACATTGGACATACCTGTAAATATATATTACATAAAATAACAGTGCTGCTCGAGGTGCGCCTTATGTTGGGTGCACCTTATATGAATAAATATCCATTTAATGGATGATGATTAACTTAATGATGGGGTGCAGATTATAGACAGCTTTGTTTCAATCATAGTTTCAATAAATATTTTGAATCCATTGATGGATTCATTCTCATTATGTGGAATCCCATTCCATCTCTGTCTGCTTTCCAGGAAAAGAGCTGAGGCTGAGGGCAGGAAGGGCAGCTTTCCCTGCAGCAAAGCCATGTCATCCCACCATCCCACTGATCCCGTGGAGCTGCGTCGGATTAACTTCCAGACTCCAGGTAGACTGTGACTCTTACAAAACTGTGCATCAGTTTCTGCTGTTCACAGTGTGTACAGATAAACTCCTGTTAGAGGGTTAGTGCTTAACAGAGTTGACTTTGTGTTTTCCTTCCAGTCTACCGTGTATCAGTGTACCGTGGTTATCGCCGTTTGTCAAGTTAGTTGGTCTCAGTCCAAAAAAATGTTTAAGTTTCAAACCCATTCCAAGTATTTCTTCTTTTCTTTCTCTCTCTTTCTTTATCCATTACTCTTGTTCTTCCTTTCCTTATTACCTTTCTCACATTTTGTCTTTTCTCTCTCTCTCTATTTCTCTATCATTTAAACATTATTTTCTTTTTCTTCTTTTTTACGTTTTTCTTTCCTTTTTCTCTCGCTCTTTATCTCCTCTAACCTCTCTCTCTCTTTCCCCTTCTTTTTTTCCGTCCCTTTTCTCTTTTCATACCAGCTAACTGTCCATCCCCAAAAGGATGAAGCTGCTCGAACTGACATTTATTAAAAATGCCGATGGAAAATCTCCTTTTGTTTTCATGTTATTTTTATCTGGCTGCGTCTTCACCAGTGTGTCAGTAATCAGAGGACATGTTATTTTGCTTCAGTAACCTCTAGGACATGCACATTGTTCTGCTTCTGTCTGTCCACAGAGAAACCGATCACTTAACAACAAAAAAAATACATTTTCATCTGCTCATTGTACTGACCTTGGACCAAACACTAAACAAGAACCTCCTCTGAGATTCCTAACTCCTAACATTTTCCACCAAAAGGTTTATATGTACATAAATCAATTTTTTTTTTGCTATCTGTGTTTAACAGGCATGGCCAGTCACCCTCCCGTCTCCATCTCTGAAATGGCAGATCACATTGAGCGCCTCAAGGCAAATGACAATCTCAAGTTCTCCCAGGAGTACGAGGTAGGAATGCTGATTACAGGTCCCTGGAAGTCTCTAACTTGGGGAGTTCATATGGTTTTGATGCAGCCAGGATCATATTTATCTCTGACTCATCTATCCCTGTTCTATTTCTTTCGTGGACGCAGTGACAGTTTCTTTGTCGCACTGTCTCTACGCTGGAGTTGTTTGATTTATCTTCATAGAAATATATATAGGAGATAAGCATACATTTGCTCTCCCTGGCGTCTTGTTATCTACACAAATGTTGGAGCCAACTTGAAATTGAAACTCAGAAACTTTGCCAATAGCGAGATGACTATCGAGCCCCTGCTGTCTCAGGGACTGAGCCACGTGACAACCTTTTTATTTTGTTTTCAGAACCTTCTTGCGACTTTTTATCTATAAAGCGACAAGTTACAAATCTAGCCACTCCTTCAGATGTTAGTAGAGACTTTCGGAGAATTAGAGTAAAAGCATGTTTCAATTTTCGTCTCCTCAGTCAGATGCAGATGCTGCCAAGGCTCATGGTCTGAAGGCAGATGAAAACTTTGTTGCCACTGCCTGTAAATGGAAAATATTCTTTTTCTAAAAGGAATTAATGTACAAACAGTATTAATGGTTTACTGTGACATTTGTACAGTAGGCTACAAGAACTAACCAAAAATGATAAAGGAAAAAAGCTTGGCTAAAGGTGAATGTTTGAAAACGTAAAATAAAATAAAAACATTTTAACCCTGTTAAACCTGACACGTAAAAAACTCTAAAATAAGTAGTTAACAGGTAAAACATTATAACAAAATAATTGAAAAAAATAATACACTAGATGATTTTGTCAACTTTTTGCTCACTGTAATGTGCTTTTTAGAAATAGAAAAAATTAAAAATTTTGACCATAACGTTTCAAAAACAGAAAACACTATGGTTTAATTTTCTACCCCAACTGTCTGTTACAATTGCATGTACTTTTGTTAATTGTGTAAATGAGGTGTTGACAACATTTAGCCTCGTCTAGAGACTACAACAACTACAACTACAGAACTTTTTATGGTGCATTCAAATATACTCATTAAAAAAAATCAAAAACGTCATTATAATTTTGATGGCTTTATAGCAAATTGCTCAGAAATGACAAAAATTACTCTGGGGACTCATTTAATGGATAAAAGCCTGAGTGGCACACAGCTTTAATTGGCTGCCAGAAGAGAAAGGAAGACGTGTAGTGTCGACAGTGATGGGGAAACTGTCAAATTATTTACTGAGGAGAAAAACAGAGCGAAGATGTTTCGGGGAAAACGTGTTGGGAAAGAGGGTGAACGAGGATAGAAGAGACAGTGAGGGAGAAGCTGTGTGTAATTGTGGTGTGAGTTGGAACCAGTCCGCTGAGCCCCACATTCTCCCCGCGTGAGTATGTGCTTTGTTCGGAGCTGAACCCTTAACGAGGAAAAAGAAGGATGGAAGGAGCAGGACCGAGGAACAGAGGAGGAGAGAGGGGCCAGAAATGATTGCGGTGTAATAATCAGACACACATGATGTTGGGCAGCGAATGGAAAACGCACTCAAACACACATCTGCACACATACATATAGATGCACTCATCCAGTACCACCCCTGTTCATTTTCCCTAACCAAACCATAATTATGTGTCATAAAATATTCAAAATTGCTAAACTGCTCTGGCTCTGGCCCCTCCGTCCCTCTCCGCTGACAGCCTCGTAATGACCTCATGTCTGCCTCTCCCACCTAACAGTAATGGTTACACTGTAATAACCCTCATGGATCTTAATGTGTTGGTCTAACACAACCATCCTTTCACTCCCAGCGGCATTTATTGTGCTTTTATCATCTTTCTCTGGTAACTCTGTTTTTTTTCCCTGACAAAATGGAAAGTCCCCACCTCACTGTTGTTTCTAAAAAGTGGAATATTTCGCTGTGCTGCTTGTCTTTCCAGTGTCAGTAAAGCCTCTTCAGTTCTCAGATTTTACTTGGTTTCCATCTCGGCAGGGTTAGCGTTTACCAACACCGGTCAAAGTCTGTACACCAGACTGTCCAGACTGTTTTCAGTGCGGTCCTTGTTCAATAATGTTAACCACTGGAGCAGTTACTGCACAGCTTGTGATACTTGATACTTTAATTGAAGGCTACACAAATTCAGTGAATTCTGGCTAATTCATTTTGAACAAAACATCTTTTATTTTCCTATTATTTCCTACTATAGAAAGAATTGATTCCAAACATTTTCTCTTTGTAATATATGTAACAGTAGGACTGACCATGGGAGAGCCCTGGTGAAGTCGTCCTTAAAACGCTTAAAACGCCAACATCCAGTCGAACGTGAATGATTCGTGCATGTGCATTTTAGCCCTGTTTATTAAAGTCAGTGTGAGTAAAAACAGCAGAAATATGAGATGAGCAGCAGGAGGAGATAACAGAAGGAGAGAAGCAGCAGCTTTTAGTCAGCAAAAAAAGTTAATGAAGTTCACTGTTGTGACCTTAATTCAATTTGTCAGAAAGTTGTGTGCACAGGAACCCATTTCCATTTTTCATTTAGGAATGAGTCCATCCCGTAACGAGGCAAAACATTTTGCACTAAAAAACACCTTACTGTTTATATGTGCCGTCATTTGAAGGAAAATAGGAATCTGCAAAATTTGGCATGACAAGTCACGGCAAAACATTGGAAATCAGAATCCGCCAAACCATCACAACCCATGCATCTCTGAGTTAAAGCAAAAGAAAACATTTTACAGGGAACTGCAGCAAAGCCAATAAATAAATTACTAAAGTAAAAAAGAAAATAACAAAATCTAGAAATGTAAAAATAAAAATCCGGAATCTGGAAATGCTACCTGAAAATAAATAATTTTTTTCTCGTCAAATGAACAAATGTTGTTTAATATATATATTACTGAATTCAATGGGTATTTTAAAAGAATTGTTCAAAGTTTTGCCAAAAAAAAAAGAAAAGAAATAAGCCAGAGAGTGCATCTTGTTAAGCTTAGCTAAGTAGCTAAAGTAGCTAAACCAAAGGGAAAGGCAATCAGTCCTAAACTAATGATTTGCTAAGGCTAAAGTAGCTAAACCAAGGGGAAAGGCAATCAGTCCTAAACTAATGATATAAAAAAAGTTAAGCAGAAATAATTATGATAGACAATGTGTTTGCCGAAAGTTAAAATATTGTTGAAAAACATTTTTCAATAAAAACGCTTGGTCCGAATGACATTTTGAAGTTTCCTCACTTTAGACTCTGGATGAAACCTTATGTACACTTTTTCAGACAGATTTTAAGATGAAAACATCATCTCTAAACAGACTGTATCTATCGTCGCACATTCATTTGTCTTGTCTGATAATAATAAATGAAGTCCATGCAGCGGCAGCACACTGTGGTCTTGTCTGATAATAATAAACGAAGTCCATGCAGCGGCAGCACACTGTGTCCTTTTTACAACTGAACAAAGCATTTGCAAAGGAAAACCAAAAATCCTTATCAAAACAAATATCTCAGTCTCATGTGTGTAGTGGCTTTTTTATCACGGCCTCATTACTGACAACACAAACTGGAGCTGACGAGAACATGAGAAACACTAACAGTATGTTACAGAAAAACATTTCCAGGTCTTTTGATCTCTGTGCCCTGCTCTGATCTGGATTTGTGTGTCTTCCAGTCCATTGACCCTGGTCAGCAGTTCACATGGGAGAACTCCAACTTGGAGGTCAACAAACCAAAGAACCGCTACGCTAACGTCATCGCCTATGATCACTCCAGGGTTATACTCTCCAGCATAGACGGTAAGACACGCTGCTGTGTGCATGTGTGTGTGTCGTTTGTGTTCACGTGTGTTTACTTTTTTTCTACACGGTTGAAATCACAAAATTTTTGATAGAAAACAAATTGTGGTCACTCACATTTCTTCAAGTTGATGCATGTAGGTTTTAGAATAAGTATAGTACGTAGTAGAGTTAAGGCTAAAAAGTTGTTATGAAATTATTCACATATTTTGGGATGTTTTATTATTATTATTATTATCACAATATAATTTTATTATTACATTATATTAATAATTAAATAACCCTTTAATTGCTCATTACAAAATTAAACAGCTGGTCCCAAATGGTACATTGAAAATAAATTGGTTTGATCTCGCTTGACTTCTGTAATGACCGTGTCAAATTATTTATTTATTTATTTACATCCAAACCCAACAATGATTCAGTCATTAACCTGGATTAAAGTGTTTGTTAATGGTCTAGAATCAGGAAAAGAATGTACCAGGATCCCTCTCTCATTGTTCTCATTTTAAATCTCACCCACTCCGCTGGGAAAGACCCAAGGCAGAGAAAGTGGCAGATCCAATGAGGGGAGAGGGAGCCATGTAGTGGGAGGCCAGGTCTAAACAGATGAGCCTTATCTGGGCAGAGCAGCTCCTTCCACCCCCGTCTGTTCTGGAGCCCTGGCAGTCTGTCTGTGTTGAGCTTATAACACAGTTACACAGCACACAAACACACATATATACAAAGATATACTTGTTCATGTATCCACGTCCTGCTGGTGAATTCATTGGAAGTGTAGTTAACGGTTGTACCACCTAGCCCCTCAACAGAAACCTGGACTCAGTACTGAATGGCTAACTCACTCCGATACCTTCATCTAAACTGAACTCCAACCTCAAAACCCCGTCTTTACCTTCCAGCAGCCATTTAAACTCATGGAATCTAGGGTTTTGGTTGGCTCACAGTCTTCCAACACTGTGAATATACTGTAGTAAAACAGGACCACACACAAATACTGCTGTAGATTCAAAACACATGCCCAGGATGTGCACAGGCAAAGATATGCGGCGTGCATTTATGAATACACATTCTGTGCCAAAACCAGTGCAGCCATTAAGGGACTGAATGTATGTGCGTGTGTGTTTCATTGTAGTTGCCTGCAATAAAATCACAGTGAGCCCCAGCATTAATCCCAAATGCCCTCAAAAAACCGAGGTTGACAAACATGTGTTTAAAACTCTTCTTCGTAAACATCCAATTTTTACAAAGGTGCTTGAACACCTCACATTATTCTGTCTTTTTTTTTTTTTTTTTTGGTTGTTGTTGTTTTTATTGCTGTCTGACGATGGCTCTGGATTTTACGATGACACGGCGATGATTTGTTCTCGTAGAAGAGGAGGCTAAAGGAGACTTTGCTGTGGAAGTTTCCGCTGTCGGGGTTTTTATGCGGTTCATTGACTTCCCATCTTTTCTAATGTGAGGTACTTTCAGACGTCTCAATGGAAATTTTGTGTCCCCCTCAGGCAGAATTGGGTCACAGCTAGATGTACACACAGACACACAGACACACACACACATCTGTGTGTGTGTTGATTTGTGCACTCTGGTGTTCTGGTGTATACGTGCATGGCAGAGTTGTGACTCAGTAATTTTTGGGATTATGGTATTAGGCCCCAGATGAACAGGGCTGATCCTAAATCAGACACACACTGACAGTCTCTCATATATCCCTCTCTCTCACACACACACACACACACACACAATCCCTTCCAGGACAAGCGGTGTCAGCCGAGTCTTGCATAGGGATGGTCTTACAGTCATATTGCCTTTCAGAGCAACATTTCCAAAGTATACTGAGATTAGGCCCATGATCGTCTTAGCATTTATTATAAAATGCAACAGCTGAACAATCCAACACTAAAGGATGCATAGTCCTGCAGAAACATTAATCCCCCTGCCATGACCCCGGATGATCCACACTCTTTATTACTGGGACATAAACCTGCTTTTATGGACCTCCATTTGAATAATCCATGCAGATTACTCCACCGCAAATCAGAATAGAGTTCATACTCATCTGCAAAGAAAATTGAGTGGACAATGAGTGTCTCCCTCTGATGTGCTGAGACGTGCGACAGCCTGATGTCATTCATCATGCAGATGCTGGGCATGAACAAATACTGCAGGGCGTCAGAGTAATGACTCTGTTATATCTCATTTCAGGACATTGGAATTCATTCTTCTCATTTCTTGTGGCAATCTTTTCCCCATTTTCCTTAATCTCATACTTTTTCTCTGTGTGTGTGTGTGTGTGTGTGTGTGTGTTTTGCAGGCGTCCCAGGTAGTGACTACATCAATGCCAACTATGTCGATGGCTACCGCCGTCAAAACGCATATATCGCAACTCAGGGTTCCCTTCCTGAGACCTTTGGAGATTTCTGGAGAATGGTCTGGGAGCAGCACACGGCCAACATTATTATGATGACCAAGCTGGAGGAAAAGTCACGGGTAAGACCAAGCGGAGAGGACACAATCTACGGCAGAGGATGGATGAGAGAGGATATGGGCAAAAAAAAGTTCTGTGGATGCAGCAGTAGAGAAGTATGAAACAGTGCAGGTGTAGGACAGGGTGAGTTAGTCGAGATAAGGAGAAGGTGGAGGCTTCAACATGATTGTGGATTTAAAATTAATGATAAAGTTTCACAAAGGAAATGCAAGGATTAGGGGAAAGTATAGTTTTAAAGTAACGAACGTCATAGATTAAACCCCCGTTTTTGGTTATCCATTTTGCCCACAGTCTACAAGTCTGAAGTCATTTGTCTGTTATCATCTCAGAGCTGACATCACTCTGAGACTCTGAGCTGACAGGTAGAAGTACTTTCCTCTCTGCTGCCTGGCGTCTCTGCCGTTCACTGAATAAAGGAGAACAAGGTGTGACTCTCACATGCGAAGTTGCCTTGAAGTTTTGAACGTTAGAAAATCTCACACCAAGTTGGTAACACCAACTACGAACACATCCCTTATAATGATAGAAAAACCTATTTTGTGTCAGTTCAATTTAAGCTAAGTGCACTGGCCAACTTGGCCGGCCATCTGACGTTGTGACCTTGTCATGAACTCGGTTCTAAAGCGGAGCCCAAACGTCTGGATTCTGCTGAACTGGCAGATTCATAGAGTTTTTAGACACGTTCCTGGAAAAAGCTGCGGATTGTTTGAACCCATAATTCATCCAGTCCACCAGCGGCCTCAAACAGATCTCCGGCAAACTTCCAGCGGCTCTGCCTGGAATACATTATTTTTCTTTATCAAGACATAAGTGATTTCATTACCCACAATTAACTGCTTTAGTATATGACATGTAGTGTTTAACAGCATATTTATGTTTCAGACAATTCCTTGTTTGAAAGTTGATTTGATCAAAGTGATCAAAGGTCACATGATTTGGTCGGGGTCTTTGTTTAAGAACTAATCTCAGGAGCTGGACCGTGGATTAGGCTTGTTAATCAGTCAGTCACTTCAACTCTCCCTAACCGTCGGGATAAGAGAACAGGAAGGAGTCGAGAAGCGTGGTAGATTTTTCTTTGAGAGGAAAAGTACCTCCGTTCTGTTTCTAGTTGAGTTCTGAGTTTGACAGCTGTGGAGATGTAGTGGACAGAGCAGGGACAGACAGAACGTTCATTATTTATATGGTGAAGGCACAGTACAGAATGTGTGGATGTAAGAGAACAGGACGAGAGAAGGAGGGAGACGGAAAATGACATTTTGTACAGAAATAGTTCCTGAAACCAACCAATATACAGAACAGGCCTTTATAATGACCGGGCTTGAAGTGTCACGGGGTTGAAATCAGCAATCAGCTGAAAAGGCTGTAACAGGGTCGACTCTGGTTGTGGGAACCTGGCTGCTGTTAGCACACGAGGTACTGGAGTTTAAACCTTCTTGTCATGTGAGGATATGGACATAATCTGAAGAAGTGTAGGATTAGAATCATGATTTTTTTTTTTTATGGCCAAAGGAAATGATCACGTCCTTTCATTTGTGCTTTTGCTCCTATTGACCTGTGCCTGCCTTGTGTTAAAACTGTTTCCTTTTCATCTTTGTCCAACTGTCTCTGTTGTGTCTCTCTGACCCTCAGATGCCCTCTTATTTCTACTCTAAGGCAAGACCTCTCTTTCTCTGCTTTTCTAACCACTCTTCAAAGCACAGCCTCACCTCACATGGTTTTCTCTTTACCTTATTTATTCAGTGCGTTTTTTCCCTCCCCCCGCTGTTCCTCCCCTCCCCTTCCTCCCCCTCTCACCCTCACCCACTCCCCACTCTCTGCGATAGCCGGTGCGCACACAGCCAGTGAGAACGCTGGATTGTCTTCATCTCACCACATTCACAGGGCATTTGTAGTTAACTAGAAGGAGGTTTATTGAAACCACAGCGGTTCAAAAGGAGTGCACATTATTGTCTACAGTTTGCATGGTCACACCCTCAGCTGGTTTTCTCTTTTCCTGTCTTGTGGTTATGCAATATAATAAGAATCCCTGTCAGTTTTTTGATACCCCGGTCATAATCTCATAAATGAGCCGTATATCTCTTCTCTTGACCGACCAAATGTGAACAGAAGGCTGACATTTCCTGAACATAATTAACGTTTGGTTTTTAAGAGCTTGAATTAAATTTCCTAAATTAAATTAAACAGTTACTACACTGAGCAACAATTATCTACCCAGCCAGCAGAGCCACACGGGCCCCAGTGGGTCTATACATGGGCAACATGTACACAGAGTCGGGGAGTTCAGCGACGGGCCACAGCTTATTCCAAACCTTATTTCAAAAATGGTATAAAACTAAAAACCAGTAATTTGCTAATGTACATTTATTTTGACAGGCTAAAAGGCATTCAAATTTATTCTAGGAATGAAAAGCTGACATCCCAGAACATCTTACCATTTATGTCTACTGCCTCTGCCTAAAGGTTTGCGTTAGCCAATCACAATTACAGGTTTTATATTGCCACTTTTTAGTAAAAAACAATCCCAATTTTTCTAGAAATACTACTTCTTTCCTGATACCATGTCTTGCAAACTTGTACGAGCACGTACTCACTGATCCTCAGTACTGTCACATACTTATATATATATATAGGAACAGTATATATTTGGGATTCAATAAATATGTTATCAACTGGAGGCAGTGTTATATAAGTGGCACTTCTCTGTGAGAGACAGGGAGACGTGCAGTGTGTGTGAGCTCAACACAGACCACGGTGAGGACAAGTAGAAATATACAGAACTTACAGACAGTTTTATTTTCTTCTCAATATCAGAAAATTACGGTAATCCAAGAGGAAATAAATATGTCTGAATTTATATAACATCTTCAAACTGACACTGTCATGGACATGGACAATGTACTAGTAAAAGTAAGGATTGAAAAATAAATAAATAACATTAAAACATTTACAGAAAATGAGAATTTACAAAAAACACAGTGAGACAACTTTCTCCTACTTCCCAGTGTTACTTTAACTGCAGTAGCACTATGACATTAGCGTATTCAGCGCTAAGGTTTGTCAGCTGTTCAGGTGTTTTGTTAGCATGAAGGTAGTGAGACACTGAACTGCAGTAGGACAAAATACTAACAAGGCATTGGATCGACACACGTTTCAGAGCACAATTATGAGTGTATGAGTGAACTACGGAGCCCGATACCATCACTGTTGAAGCGTCCCCAGTCAGTCGTTACCATTTTCATGATTTCTTGGGCCTGGGGCCCATATGGAAACTGGGAAATAGCTCACTCTGCACCCACACAGGTTACCTTCTGTATACCGCCTATTTGTCTTCGGCTTATGGCACGATCATCCAGAAGAAAATAATTAAATATCATTAAAACCCTCTTAGCGTTTGATCATTATGTTTAGGCTATAACAACACAGATGATCACAGACGGTCCCACTGCGGGAATCATGTCGGCTTCCTTCCATTTAGCACCGATCAAACTACATACGAGCGGCAGTTATGCTGCTGGCTCATATATTAATGGATAGTAAATTCTTCACACCAGGCACTCGCTGCCATCCACATTAATCTTTCGCAGTGGATATATAACCCCCCGCAACATGGGCGACCATTCTTTTCCCTTCTGTGTCTCAAGGTCTTGTGGGAAAACAACAGTTGAAAAGCTGTAATTACTGCCTGAATGTCCCGGGCCAAAACGCATAATCCCCAGTCTGGAGCAGTGGAATGCAGAATGAACAGAGTTGAGCTCCCTGCTGTCTTTGATGTGAGGACTGGAGGGATCAGCACATAGCGTTTGGTTTGGCCTGATTCTGCCAACGCTCTCCTTCCCTCCTCTGGGATGTTTTCTTCTCAGGAAAGGGGGGAACTGATGCGTTTCGGTGATTAGAGTTGCAGGGACTCAGTTTGCATTGTACAGTATAGTTAACTGAACAGGGGGAGTGTGCTGTGATGTCCCTGTGTCATGTGTGTGAGAGATGGATTTCCCATCTCTCTTTTTTTTTGCAGCTCTGTGGTGGTCCCATGTGAAAGCCCACCAACATGGGGCTGGCTCAAGCAAGACAGCCATTCTATATTTTAAACACATCACACATCTTGGAATTTATGACACTCACGCCAAACAAACCTCCCAATGAACATTACTGTCTGGTTTATTCTCTAAACCTCACTGATTTTCTTCAACACTTCTTCCTTTCTTGTCTCTGCACAAATGCATGTACATAAAAAGTACAATCATGTTTAAACTTCCCTGCACGTCTCAGACAGGTTCCTTCCTTTCTTCCCTTCCAGGTGAAGTGTGACCAGTACTGGCCAACACGGGGCACGGAGACGTACGGCCTCATTCAGGTCACTCTGCTGGACACAGTGGAGCTGGCCACCTACTCTGTCAGAACATTTGCTCTGTACAAGGTACATGTTGTCTTCAGTGGAGCGGAATGAGGTCAAGACTCTACTGATCTGTTAAAATACTTACTGTGTTTATACTTCATTCCTTGGATTTGAAGTCACTTGTCTTGTGGTTCAGCATAACAAAAAGTCATTAGAGCAGAATGTTTTTTCCTTTTCAGGTCAAGTTGATCATTGAAATTAGACTTTAATGGTTGGTGGTTCAGTTTTTTTTTTTTAAGTGGCTCCTGAACACTGACTTGTAGTCAGGCCAAGAACCAGAGTTTGTTGCACTTGTTAATGTCAAAGTCCATCAAACACTGAAGTAACTATAAAAACATATGACATGGTGACAGAAATGCATTGAGGTTTTCTGAAATACGACACATAAAAAGGAAATTTTTTTTCGTGGTAAATGTATTTTCAGTTTAAATACAACATGAGACATCAGTGTCCTATTGGCAAAGGTTTTCCCTGCTGTTAGCGAACGCCTCCTATTCATCAGTAATCCACTGAACCCCCAAACTCCAAAAACCTAGAATAAGGTGTGAATATTTTTATTTTATTTTTTTTAATCAAATTACTTTAGTCGTAGATTAAAAAAGATCTGCTGACGATTCATTTATTTACCAATGACTATCAGCGTCTTCACTCTCATGTGTTGTGGTGCCGAAGAAAGGACCAAAATTATTCACAGCCAACAACTCCATACTAATGGCCTTTATGAAAACTTTTCTCCAGAGTGGCTCAAACGAGAAGCGAGAAGTTCGTCACTTCCAGTTTACAGCCTGGCCGGACCACGGCGTACCTGAACACCCAACACCGTTCCTGGCCTTCCTCCGTAGGGTCAAGGCCTGTAACCCCCCAGATGCAGGACCTATGGTTGTCCACTGCAGGTGAGTGCATGTGTTATCTCTGCATCATTTTTTGAAGATCTGGGAAACAGAACAGGACACAAAAAAAACCTATGAGGATGTATCAGTATGCAGTGTCAGTTTTAAACACTGGTGGCAGCACAACATACATACGCAAATATTAAGCAATCGAACTGATAATTTCTTTACTGTGGATTATTTACCGTTTGAGCTTGAAGATCTGAGTATGTTTAAATTCAAATGAATTGCCGCCTGAGTGGCAGAACGCTTGTGCATTTGGTCGGAAAATTATCCTGGAAACATGTCATTAAAGTGTTGGCTCAGTGTTGAGCAGCAGAGCTGAAATTAAGTAGTTATTTTTCTTACCAGGAAGTGAAGGCTAGAAGAAGACAGAGGGTAGAAGAGGGAATTTGGAACAGAACCTCTGGGGAGGAGGAATTAGTGAAGGATAGATGTGGTGGGGAGCAGGAAGGGGGGAGGAAAGGGGGAATGGGACAATGATTGAGTGCAGAGAGTTAGCAGGGGACGGCAAGTCAATGAATGTGCAGAATGAGAGAGAAGGTGAGGTCATATTCAGAACACGTGGAGTGGAAATGATGAATTAAAGGGAAGGGAAAAGGTGGAAAGAAAATGGAGACTAAAATGTACAAACGTGGAGGATAACGTGGTGGAGCTGGTGTAAGAGTGTCGGGAGGCACTTAGAGAGGAAGGGATGATAAATAGGCAGGAAGATGAGGACAGGTTGGCAGGAGAGCAGCTCCTGTGAATCTTCTCCAACAGTCAGATGGAGTCTCTAACAGGATTAGCAGTAAAATTTAATTATCCCTGGAAAACGCCATCGACATTTTCCTTAACATGTCAACCAGCCTCGGCTTCAAACAGTGAACCTAATCTCTATCCCCCCAAGCAGTGTTCACTCACACTCACACTTACACACACACACAAACACACACACATGTGCACGCTGTTATCATCGTGACTGTATAAAGAGACTTTTGTGATTTTCAGAAAGATGCTTGGTCAGGCTGTTTTAACAGTTAGGCTGCAGCACAGCAGAAATGTGAAGGGAGGTTAAATGTATTACATTTCTGGATGGTATGTTGATAGGAGGAAATGTCTGGCTACATTGGCAGTCAGACATGATGCTGACTCACTGCTGATGCCAGTTTCAGGTCTTCGGTTGGAAATGTTGCCGGCTGGCATTTTTGTTATATTTAGTTGATTTAGACTCAATATGTTAGCTTTCGAACTTTTTCACCAGGGCCAGATTTGTGTCAGGTTTTAGACACGGCACAGGAAATCCATGTCTGCTGTACTTACTTGTGAATCCAATCAAAAAATCTAATTCCCATCTGGGTTTTTTTTCCATAATTTGCACAACACAGTGCGGGAGTTGGTCGCACCGGCTGCTTCATCGTGATCGATGCTATGACAGAGCGCATCAAGCATGAAAAAACCATCGACATCTACGGTCACGTCACACTGATGCGTTCCCAGAGGAACTACATGGTTCAGACGGAGGACCAGTACATTTTCATTCACGATGCACTGCTGGAGGCGGTGACCTGCGGAAATACTGAGGTCCCAGCGAGGAACCTGTTCTCCTACATCCAGAGGCTAACGCAAATTGAGCCGGGAGAGAACGTTACCGGCATGGAGGTGGAGTTCAAGGTGAGAACCATTCACAGTGTCCCCGAGGCTGTAAATCCAAGTGGAACTAATTTTATGATTGTTCATAAAACCAATTAATGGCAATAACCTGACACTTGGCTGGTCCACAATGGAGGTCAGTCATCAGATCCAGCTGAAGACTGGAACGACTGAAGTCAGAGCTGTTATTATTTAGTGCCTCTCGGATGTCTGCGCAGCTAATGGTCAATCATAGACCAATGAAGTCTTTGGTTTATATGGTCACAACAGGCTTGAAATTGAGCTTGTTTATTTCTGGGCCGCTGAGGTTTTAATAGCTGCGATCTAAGTGTTTCTGACATTTTGCTAGGCTAATTTGCTAATGGTTGTTTTATATGTATTATCCTCATGGAGGCACAGAGGAGCACTGGATGTTGAATCAGTAAGCAGAACGTACACTCAGAATTTATTACCTAGACAGTTGACATTAAAACTCCAGGGTTCAAATGGCATTCTGGGCAAACGGTCTTATCATTAGATTCATTTAAAGGTTCACCGTGAGATTTAAAATGTCTATTGAAAGAAATGCAATTAAAAGTGACTTAATACACAGCTCAGTATGATCTCCTTAACCCTTTACTGTGTACGTTATACACTGTACCAACGGCTCCACAGAACAAGGTCACAGAACAGAACAAGCCTGACCTTAACAGTCACTGAAAATCCTATACTTGAGCTGAGCCAAGGGATTTAACTACTCCTGTGGGATTTTTATATAATTATGATGGATGGTGGAATTAGAAGAAAATTAACAGTTTGTGCCTTGGAAACAGAGGCAATACAAAACTTAAAAAAAGAAACAAAACTAAATATTACAGGCTAGTACAAACTTTGTTGGCCGCACACTCCCTTCTATTTATTGGTTAACACACCCCTAATTCTCTACACCTGCAAGAATTAATACCAGAAACGACTTTAACAACAATGCACTCTCACATTTGGATTTAAAAGAACACAGTAAAAACCACCATCACTTTTTTAGCTTGCACAGCCCCTGGTGACAATACATTTCTTAAAAAGTCTTTAAAAAAATCCCAAAAATCAATTTATGTAAATATGTAGCTAGGCACAGTTTTATGGGTTAATTTAATTTAAGGTAATTTAAAAAAAAGTCAACCATTGAGCAAAAGTTATATAGGATACTAATACATTTCTGAAAAAGAATTTTAAAAAATAAAACAAATCTTAAAAAGGACATGAAAATGCACTAATTTGACTGATTAAAATTCCAATAAAAAAAACACTCCAAAACCGCTACATTTTTATCTTACCCACCCCCTAGTGGCACCACACTTTGGCATGCTTTTTTGCTCCCTGCTTTACAAAACTAAAATTCAAATTCTTATCTTATCATACCCAAATAATAAAAATGCACATTGGGACTCCATTTTATTGGATATTGAGGAACATTAGGTTATTCTGACATTCATACCTGACAAAGAAACTCTTTGTCAAATAATCAAGGTTAAAATAAAGAAAAGTGTTGTCACGGCTAATGACGTATTCTTATTCTAAAGTAAAGTAAAAACTACAGTTTGTTGGAGTTTTGTCTCTCTTTGTCACACTTCCTCCACTGAGGAGTTGCCATCTCTCTGAGCTAATCATCTAAACACCACAGGTGACTTAACTTTCGCCAATGAAATAAGAGTCATTTCAGGCATGTGTGAGAGAAGAGATAGCTGCACTAATAGCTTGTGGTAATCCATCACATTAAAACAGATTCTGTTACAGTCACAGCTCAGTCTGAAGAGACTGCCAACAGGAAATGACTCCATGCAGGCCAAACAGATGGTTGGACATAATCACGTGTGTAAAAAGCAAAAGGAAAGCTTTGTGTTTATCTATCACGGAGACAGACGGAGAGACGAGAGACTTCCAGCCAAAGGCAGTTCCACTTACTATCACTGGTGTTAACCAAATGAACTGGTGAACCTCTGGTTAATGTGGGGCTTTCCAACTCGGGTCAGTCCAGAAAACAAGGCGCTGCTGTTTCTCCCACGGTGCTCCAGTAGCCACCGACGGTTGAGGCTCATTTGAAGAGACCCTATTGTTTCTCCCCTGTGTCTGTGGTTTCCCCTCCGTCTGTTCTCTGCTGTTTTATTTTATACCATGTCATCCAATGGTCAAGTGTGAGAGAGAGTTTACATCATGTCCTCCCATCTGCCTGTCTGCACATATTCATATGTATGAATGTGTGTTTTCCTGGGGCTTCTTTCTCATTTTTCATTGGTGCAGGATCAACTGTGGTTCACATGTGCATTGAGACAGTGTGGGGCCTTGTGGTTTCCTGTACCCCAACTCGATTTTCTTTTTCCTCTCTTCTTTCTTCTTATTATGTTTGATTCGGTATCTGCTTCCCCACCACCGCTCTTGTTATATCAGCTCTCCTTTGTTTTTTGTAGAAGACGTCTGGTAGAATATCCTGAGGGCTGTAGAGTCAAACTGATTTTCTAATTCCGGTTGTCCGACAGAAAACTAAGCTTTGTGCTGAAAGCGTTTATGTGAGCTCCTGAAATTCATCTGGACTTTCTCTTGATTTTACTTCCTTTTTCCAACCTAGCAAACGTTCTTTCTAAGGCACTTTTTAAATCCTTTTCATATGCGGGTCTGTATGATTTTGTACTCTGTCTTTTTACAGCGTCTGGCCAGTGCCAAGGCTCACACATCGAGGTTTGTGAGTGCCAACATGCCGTGTAACAAGTTTAAAAACCGGCTGGTGAACATCATGCCCTACGAGACCACACGTGTGTGTCTGCAGCCAATCAGAGGAGTGGAAGGGTCTGACTACATCAACGCCAGCTTTATAGATGGATACAGGTCAGAGAGAGCTAGAAGCTAACTTTACAATCTCCTCTTTTCTGTCTTTGTCCTGAGACGGTCATGTTCATATATAGTTTTTCTGTTTTTTGTGTGTGTGTTCAGGCAGCAGAAGGCCTACATTGCCACACAAGGCCCACTGGCTGAAACCACAGAGGACTACTGGAGGATGCTGTGGGAACACAATTCCACCATAGTTGTCATGTTAACCAAACTGAGAGAGATGGGACGGGTACGGGTGCAGAGACACATACCTCTGTATTCACCATGCAGCTCTAAATCATGTGGTTTCCCCTACCATTATAGAGTTACATTAGGCAACTGGACATGAAATGTTCTCAAGAAATTTCTTGAGAACCTTTAATATCCAGTTGTTACTAATCTCATTTAAGTTAATTTATTTCATTTTGTTTTCTTCATCGTCGTACATGTTTGTTTTGTCGGCCTGCAGGAGAAGTGTCATCAGTACTGGCCTGCGGAGCGCTCAGCCAGGTACCAGTACTTTGTGGTGGATCCCATGGCTGAGTACAACATGCCTCAGTACATCCTTCGAGAGTTCAAAGTCACTGATGCCAGGGTGAGCAGTGGGTTGTTGTTTCTGTCAAAGTCTTTGAGGCATGACGATTTATTTTTTTAATTTATTAAGAATGAGACCATTTTCTCTTCAGGATGGACAATCACGGACAGTTCGTCAGTTTCAGTTCACTGACTGGCCAGAGCAAGGCGTGCCAAAGTCAGGGGAGGGATTCATTGATTTTATTGGCCAGGTCCATAAAACAAAAGAACAGTTTGGTCAGGATGGACCAATCACGGTGCACTGCAGGTAAGATACACACAAGCAACTGACTTTCTTTGGGTAACTGACACACTGATATACTGATATTATATTTACCTGAAGTCCCCTCACCTACAGATACTGGGCTGCAGCTACACCACGGACTTACTAGTACTAGTACTAGTAAAGTATTTCAGCGGCTCTGTAATAGTTTAGGGCTGCATTTCAACCAGTGCTATTGAAAACATGATTTAAACACAGCCTTAAACGCAGTGTACTATGCTGTTTTTTAAACCATTATTTTTAGTACTACATGTAATTGTATCTATAGTAGTATTACATCATCTTCCATTACTGTAACTGAGAGGATTTCTATCCATGTTCACATACATCCATCTTAATTCCCTGTTTCCCTCTGTCCTCTGAAGTGCTGGAGTCGGAAGGACCGGTGTCTTCATCACCCTCAGCATTGTGTTGGAAAGAATGAGGTACGAGGGCGTGGTGGACATCTTCCAGACGGTCAAAATGCTACGTACCCAGAGACCTGCCATCGTTCAGACTGAGGTGATCTTTCACACCGTCGCACTTTCAGTCTCACTCATCATCAAATGTCTTCTGGTTAATATTTGATTCTGTCTACACTTTGGTTTTCATTTCTCATGAAAGTTCTTCCCTCTGTTCTCAGGACCAGTACCAGTTCTGTTACCGGGCCAGTCTGGAATACCTGGGAAGCTTCGATCACTATGCAACATAAAGCCAGTGGCCGTCTCTCATCCCACATCCCACCCTAGTGCACTGTTCTTAGATCACCTACTGGTCTCCAGTATTACTGCATTAGGCTGAGATGTCTCTTGGAAGATTGGGCCACCACCTGCAGAGTGAAAGGGACCATCGGCTTATCACGTACCCACAAACAGCACCTCTAACTGAGCCATAGCCAACTGCAAGACAAGGGTGTTTCCTTTCATCCTCACTCCAAATGCACCCATTGGTCAGTCTGAAGATAAAACTTCAACCGATGATCCAATCAGAGAACTTGACCCCATCCAGATTTTTATTCAGTTAGTGCTTTTGTGAGCACCCAGATTGCTTTACTTCGTTAGGGTGTGGAACTCTCACCTTGTTCACCACCAGTGTAGCATCACCAATGAAAAAAAAAACAGAAACCAGCTACAGTATTTAGCTGTCACGGGAAGTTTTTTTTTAAATTATTTTAAGGATTGTCTGGAAGAAGACAACAAATCCTTGTGGACTTAAAGAACTGGGACTTTTGAGCACCACAGATTTGCCAACAGGAGACTGAATAAACACACACACACAGCACACAGTGTTAAAGAAGACCAAGAACACACTCCAAAAAGGACACTTTGTTTGTGTTTTGTTCTGTTTTGTTTTATAAACAGACACATTCTGCTGTTTGAAAAACACAATTCTTCTTCCTTATAATGACAAAAGCCACCAGTTTAACCTTTTGCTTCTTGATTTAAGATGTGAGGATTTAAAGAGAGGTTTAAAATATATACTATAAAGTAAGACATTCATTTAGTTTTCTATAAAAAAATACTGATTTTATCTTCTATCCATATAGCATGTTCTGTTACAGACTGATGACTTTGTCCCCACTGAGCATCCGAGGCAAAGTTGTTACTTTCCGAACCGTAGCTTTTCCTCAGTGGTTTGATAAACAGCACTGTTTTGAAGTGTACAATCAAACCTAGTGTGGGAAAAGTTCAGGAAGTTATGAAGAGTAAATCTCCTATATAGTTTAACCACTCTCTCTCCTTTTGAATAAACACATGCATGAGTCGTAGCCTCAACCCTACTTAACCTCCAAGCCGAGCGCGACCTTTATGTTCTCGAATCTAACTCCTCGAATCCCTGAGTGCTACAGTGTTAACCTCACTGCTAACAGCCCTGAAGAAAACACCTGTCACCACAGAACACACCACCACAAAAGAGTGCTAACAAAGAAAATCGACTTATGTGTCCAAATAACAAAGCTATTTCAAACAGAGAGCGAGAAGTGGATGTAAAATAAAGGGGTGTGAAGGAGGACGGGGGAGGAACAGTTTTTTTTTTTCTTACTGGAATGCTCACCTATGACTTCTCTCCGTCTACTTTCCTGTGCAATAATTAGATGTATATTATATTTTTTGTTTGTGTCGAATCACTAACAGCAGTTTTATGCTATGGAGATGATTCCGATGACGGCACAAACATGGATGTTACGCTTGATCATGTTCCCATCAACACACCATGTGTCCACCCGCGGAATGACTGCTGACCTCATAACAACGTTCGTCTTTTGTCCGTGTCACCCACCCTGCTCGATGATGTCACCCATCCGTGTGTCAAGGCAACCAATGAATGATCCGACTCACTTCTCGAACAGCATCTAATAAGTATTTTAATTTTAGATTTCTAGTGCCTTATATTACACGCCTATTTTGATAATTACTTTTAAGGGTTTTATGTGTAATTTCAAGTGTGCACGGTTGGAAGTGTGTGTACTGAATGTCTGTGTAATTTTTTTGTTTATGTTACTATATATATATATATATAAAACATAACTTTTTTTTTTCAGCTGTGAAACTTTGTATGGAAGGCGATATGTTGGCTTGACACTTGGACTGATAAATTCTAATCCAGGAACTATAATCCAGGAATTACAGTATATAGAATTTTAAATGTTATTTGAGATGGGATCTGATGAGAAACAGTAATAATACCTAAAAGAAATAGGTTGATATCAGAATGTGTGATTATGCTGGTATAAAAAAAACATTTCAGAAGTCATCACCTCAGTATTTTCTCTTTCCAGGACTAAGCTTTATGAAGAGGAGCAGTATACAAGTTCTAGCCATCTTAAGACAAACAGCACAGGCTGTTTGTGTAATCCGTAATCAGTAATCTGACCTGACACCATGAACACAAAATCTGTCTAATTTAATCATTTTGTTTTCTTTCATACAAGCTGTGTTATATTTTTTTTGTTTTGTTTTACCAACAGACGCTGAGAGAAGTTCTACGTCTAACACATTCATCCTAACCCGTCTGTGTTTCGTATCTAAGTTAACACTTTATTATATACAACGTTTCGGTGGACCTCCAGCGGATCTCTGTAACCCTCGCTGTCATTAAAGTATGCATGGTACCACTTTGGAGATGGCCCTTTGGTCACACCTGTAATGGGAAGACTTGCACTTTCTCTCTTTTTACTATGCACTACACACTCGTACCCTGTTCTCACCTTTAGACCCCCGTCCACCTCCAAAAGCAGTTTTACTTGAACTCAGTAAAATGTAAAATGGACCCTGTAACGCTCACACGGTTGTGTATATGTAAATAACACCAAAATACACAAGTAATAAAATGCACATTTGCATTTACATGAATAGATAAATAATAAATAATTTATTAAGTGACTGAACGTGATCAGCTATAGAGAGTGATATCATAAATGGATGCACCTGATATACAGTTTTAACGACACAGTGGTGCCGCGGGCAATACATCACAGTGTGGATTTGTTAAAAGTTTCACAGCAAAGTGTTCTATTTTACCCCCCAAATGTATCTAGTAGATGGATAAAACTGGAGTTTATAAATTGTATAAAATAAAAAAATAAAAAACAAAGAAAACATAGTGTGTTACTCGGATCAGTTACCTCCAAGGGTTCTGTAAATGTAAACTCTTTCTTTTGTTCCGTTTCCTGCTCAGAGTTAACAAGTGCTTTTTTTTTATTTTCATACATCGGTTCTGGGAGTGTGTGAAAACCAGATAACAGGTCTGTATGGGTTTCTGTTCTTTGTCGACACAAGTTTCATTTGTTACAAATAAACTCAAGGAAATAATCCCTGCTACTGTTTGAGTGAATAAAAACCAGGACTGAGTCTAACTGCACGTGATTGTCTTTTTGTTTTCACAATAAATCACTGTGTTTACACTCTCACCAGGTTGATTTGGCTCAAGGGAGTAGGGTGGATTTTGACTTCGGTGTGGACACTTGAAATGCTTTTACTTTCATTTCACCTTTTTTATTATTTTTATTACATGTAATCTATTACCCAAAAATATAGAAGGGTTGTAATCAAAATTTCACAACTTCGACTGAAGTTGTGAAATTTCGACTAACAATCAACTAATCAATGGAGGTTTTGCCGCGCTGGATAGCCTGGTCGGCCGAAATTAATGCCCAGTGATCCCTCTCTGATCGCGGTAGTTGCGTTCCAAGAACCTCCCCAGACTGTATTACCCTTTCCCACACAATTATATGCACACTAGAGTTGTATAATGGAAATATAAGACATATATATTACGTAAATTAAATACACATTGTAGTGGCGCGGCGGACGTTAGCGCTCAGCTGCCTAAGAGAGAGAGCACGGGAGTGGTGATGCAGGTGCAGCCCCGGACAGATGTGAGCGCAATCCAGTAATCAAGTCTCTTCTTATATTATTAGGAGCCGGGACCAAGGAGAGAGGAAAGTGAATAGAGGAGAGGATACTGGCCAAGACGGACCGTATATGTAAGCTGGCTAAAATTTCACCTATCATGTTGGTCAAAACCTGGTCAAACATTGAAAAAATGTCATGAAAATATTTGAAAAAAAGAATTTCAAAATTGTACTTTTTCTACATGTTTCTCGTCAGATTAGAGCATCTGGAAAAAAAAAATTGGAATTTTTTTGGCAAAATCTAAATTTTACTTGTAATGTGGTCAAATTTGAAAAATGTTTATTGATATTTTTGAAAAAACATTTAAAAATGTTATGTTATCTGCGTGTTTCTCATCAAATTATAGCATTTTGGAAAAAAAAATTTAAAATGTTTTTTGAAGTTTTAAGCACAAAATATTCACTTGGCAGCATGTTTTAGGAACTAATCTTAAGGCTATAGGGTTAGGGTTCGGCTATAGTAAGGCATGTTTTGGGTG